AAAAATAATTAATTGAGAATTAATTATTATTTAAATAATGTGATTATTTAAATTTAAATTTGAATCATGAACATAATTTAAATTTATCATTTTAAACTTGTTTGATAAGTTGTTCAATTTAGAATTCAAATTAATTTAAGTTTGACTTAAATTTGAATTTGAATTTGAATTAAAATTGGACTACAGGATAAATGATTATTTTCTCTTCCTTCCCTATCTGCAATTGGCGCCACACACAGGGATAGAAAACCCTAGGGTGGCCGGCCACACAAGGATAAGGTAGAGGAGAATTTTTGTTCAAAATTCAAACAGGAGAGAGAGATTTGATTCCTTCCAGAAGTTGGACTTCTACTCTATAAATAAGATATGATGAAAAATTGCGCGTGACAATTTTTTAACCTAACTGAAAGGGGGCTGGCCGAATTCCCTGTGATAGAGAGAAGGAAATATTTTTTCTCCCAAAAAATTTCACATCGTGCATGCGTTGGTGTTTGTGGAAAATTCGAGTGTTTAATCAAACCCGTTTTTAGTCTCGAGTGTGCTCACACACACGTATACGTAGATTCAAGGAATTGACGTGAAAGACTTTGGTTTTCTAAACACAAGGCTTTGGAGCAAGGATCGTTCGTGGTCAAAGAACTCAAGTTATCATCCGAGTCGGCCTCCAGGTATTTTTCCTAATTGAGTTATTGATATATAAATTAATATGATTAATTTATTCGTGCATAAATTAATATAATCTATAGAGTATCTCAAAAGTTTCGTAAAAATTTTTGTTATACTTGATCCGCCCTCCCGCCACGCTTCCGCATCCGAATTCGATTCGGTAACCAACACTAGGATCACATAGCGCCGATTTAATATATAATACAATTTTAAATGTAATTGATTAATATAGATTAAAAGATAAAGTGATAGCTATAACACTAGATAATGCTAGTGTAAATACTAAAGCAATTGAATATTAATCAATGGCTCCTCACATTAAAAGAATTAAAGATAGTATTGCATAGATTCAAGGTAGTAACCAAAGAGAACAAGATTGGTTTAGGTTCTTACAAGCATTAAATCTAACTCCTAGAGCATTAGCACTTGATAAGTCTATAAGATGGAACTCAACTTATATAATGTTTCAACAATGCATCCCCTATAAAGATGCTATAACAAACTATATCAGTGTAAAATTATGAGTATGACATATAGACCTATATGATTGGCAAATTGCCGAAATTTTGTATCAACTTTTAGGTAGGTTTCATGAAGTTACTCTAAAACTTAGTGGAACATATTATCCAACATCACCTTTAGTTTTAGGTGAACTTTTAAGAATTAGTATTTTATTTAATGAATTTAGGGCGGACCCAATCTTAGGAGTTCCTATCGCTTCTATGGAAAAAAAATTAAAAAATATTGGTCTAAATTACCAATGTTGTATGGTTTCGGTACTATTTTTTATCCTATATTAAAATTAGACGGTTTAGAAAACTTAAGTGAATTTTTAGGCATAAATTGTTCTAACCAATTTCTGACAATAAAGGCAAAAATATTTTCTCTCTATAGTAAATGTGAGAATAGGTTTAGAAACACAAACTCTGAAGTACAAGAACCGCAACAAAGAGATGAAAACCCGCATTCATTCATGAATGTTTTCAGGTTGAAGAAGAAGAAGAAGACAACTCAAATAGAAGCTGGTAGTGGATCTTCATCAATAGGTGGTGGTTGCGGCGGCAGCTTCAATGAGCTTATGACGTACCTCAGTGAGAGCTTAGTAGTCGGCGGCAATAGAAATTTGTTTGATTTAGTTCAATGGTGGAGGGCACGAGCATTCACTTGGTCAGTCCTAACTCGATTGGCAATGGGTATTTTTTCGATCATAGTCTCCACTATTTCATCCGAACAAGCCTTCAGTACGACTGGACGAATACTTGAGGAACACCGAAACGCATTGCAAAGGGACATTGTTGAAGCATTGGTCTGCATTAAGGATTGAGATCGTGCCGATCAACGTTGACATGATACAATTTCACCGGAAAGTCAAGAATGGATCGATGAATTTAATAGATTAACATTTAATTTTGAAGGCGATCCTTCAGCTTCAAATTAAATTGTAATTTGTAAATATGTATTTACTTTCGACATTATAATTGTATATTTAGACTTTGTAAGTTTGTAAAATTTGTAATACGTCACAAAATGATTGCACTCTTTTTTTCTTGCCAAGTTTTTATCTCAATTGGGCTTTTCTTGGTAAAGTTTTTAACGAGGCAATCATGAATTACAAATTTAAAATTAATATACAAAATTAATTTTTTAAATTGTGTTAATAATGTGTGTTGAATGTTGATTTTAATTTTTATATAATTTTAACACAAAATAACTTAATAATTATTTATATACAAATACAATTACTAAATAATAGTATATTATATATAATATACTATTATTTAGTAATTGTATTTGTATATAAATAATTATTAAGTTATTTTGTGTTAAAATTATATAAAAATTAAAATCAACATTCAACACACATTATTAACACAATTTAAAAAATTAATTTTTTAAATTGTGTTAATAATGTGTGTTGAATGTTGATTTTAATTTTTATATAATTTTAACACAAAATAACTTAATAATTATTTATATACAAATACAATTACTAAATAATAGTATATTATATATAATATACTATTATTTAGTAATTGTATTTGTATATAAATAATTATTAAGTTATTTTGTGTTAAAATTATATAAAAATTAAAATCAACATTCAACACACATTATTAACACAATTTAAAAAATTAATTTTTTAAATTGTGTTAATAATGTGTGTTGAATGTTGATTTTAATTTTTATATAATTTTAACACAAAATAACTTAATAATTATTTATATACAAATACAATTACTAAATAATAGTATATTATATATAATATATATACAATATTATAAAAATTAAAAAATATAATAAAAATATTTTTTTTCGGGCCATTCAGGCGGGCTCAGGTAGCCAAAATTAGGCCCGCAGCCCGTCCATGGGCCTTCTCGAGCTCGGGCAGGCGGGTTCTGGCGTCATGCTTAAAATCAGTTTTTTCGGACGGTCACGGACAGCCCATCCAAAATTCCAGCACTATTTTAAACATTTCATGAAAATGTCATAAATGGAAAAAAAATTCAAGAGGGTGTCAGGGTTATGAGATTATCAATTCTATTTTAATTTAATTTTATTTATTTTTGTTTCCAAAGATTTATTCTCTACGAGTTTGTTGCTTTACGCTGAGTGTTTATTACTGTTTGTTGATGGTCGTTTTCATATCAGGCTCATATAAGGGTCTAGGCCTAATCATTTCATCCGGCGACGAGATTGAGCTCGATTGGTGGACCCAAGCCACGCTCGGAGAACTCGCGTGGGTCGTGATTTAGTGGGTCATAGGTAATCAAATGAACCCATTTGTTATAAGGGAAAAAATGTAAAAAGAAAAAAAAAGGTTAGGGCAAATACTAAAAGTCTTGGACCAGTAGGGGTGGCCGCTCTCACTCGGCCTAAGTGAGTTCGTCACTGTGTTTAGTACCCCTTTTTTAGGGACATAAATGTCCTCTTCTTCATTTTTTATCATTTTCAATTAATTAGTCCAAATCTATTAGTGAAAAATGTTAAAAATATATCAAACACCAAAACGTGGGGCTAATCTTTTTTTTTATTATTTTTTTATAGCTTAATCCACAAGTCAAAATACGAAATTTTATATAGCTTGCTTAAAAACCATCATTGCCTTTTGTCTAACATAATAAAGGAGCAAAATGACATTTTCTAACTTCTTGTGCTCTTTGCAAGCACATCCAAAAGATGCCAGAATTAAGAGATAAAAAAGCTCACGATGAACAGCTTGCATTGAAGTGTTATTTTCCCTCCTCTATTTCTTTATATATATTTTTTAACCTTCATTTTTGCTTCTGAGAATCCTATTACCACGGCTTTTTTTCCATTTTCTTTGTCGGCACTCGGCAGACTGGAATTGAAGAGAGCATTTAAATCCTGTTTAGTTCGCTGATTTAAATTTTTAATTTGAATTAAAATATAATTTTATGTGAGAACTTTTTACTATAACAAAAAAATTAAACGTGACTATTTCTAAGAATTTTTTACTGTAATAAAACTCAAATTCTAAATTCGAATCGATAAAATGAACGGGACCTTAGTAATCATCTTCATTATTTATTCAACAAGGGACGTCATGTTTTTATAGAATAATACTATTATATCATGATGCTTTTCTTTCATATATATATATATATATATATATATTGTACTAATAAAACATACACAGAAAATAAAGTATAAAATCGGTCTTCTACGATTCTCCAACCAACTTTATCAAAACACGGTACATGATTTCAAGCGTAACTTAGCGGTAGCCGGTAAGTTTACCCCATACTTCTAATTTGATTCTCGTGTACAAAACTGTGATTGTTGTTTGAAGCTTAAATAGCCATACTTCAGACAGGAGAATTGAAACAATAAATGAATAGTGTTATTTGGGACCATGGTTAATTTTGGGGGAGAGTTAAAAAGAATGGCCGAATGTTTTAGGCTGAGAAAAAAAAAAGTGTTTTTAGTAAATAATCAAACGTATTGACTCGATAAATCTCATATTTATTGAGTGAATACATATTTGTCGAGTAAATCCGGGAATTTTTTATCGGTAAAATTTGGACATTATTAAAATAAAAAATAAAAGAAAAAAGAAAAAAGTACTAGCACTATTAATCCCTGAACTTTGAGCATAATGACACTTTGATATTAAACTTTTAATTTTGATAAATTACCCCATAAACTTTTAACTTCTAAGCAATTTTGACTCCTAACACTAAAATTGACTAAATATATCTAAAATTTAACATAGATAATCACATTCCTAACATCTAGGTTCTAACAATTAAAAATTTTACATAAATAGTTATGTTAAGTACAATAGCTTTCAATGAGTTTTAAACTTTTTAAATGATACTAAAGAGAATAGTTTGCACATAATATAACTAGTTTTACAAGATTTTAAGTTTACACATAATGGACTCACAAGATTTTTAAGTTGACACATTATGGACTCACAAATGAACACACCCTGTATTTGCTGGCAGTAAAACTAACCATCATGGTGCCTGTTTTTAACACTTTTTAGGCCAATGATATAGTTTCTGCTTCTTTTTTTCAGTTTTCCTTTTTCGGCTTGCGTACAAAGAAAATTAGACAGGGAAAGAAACAATGAATTTATTTATGCAAGAATGAATAAACAATGCCATTTGTTATTCCAATTATACAATGCATCAATGTGTCTTTATATAATCAGAAAAACATTGGCAACTACTTGACACTCTACAAATGAGAATCACACAGAAGCTTCCCTTCAAAGGAACAAGCACTGGCTCTCTCCAGGTTACCACTCATTCTATTTCAGTTTTTATTTTCCTTTCTTTTCTTTCTTTTTTCCCCCTTCCTCTTTCTTTTCATTTACCTGTTATTTTTACAGTATGGAATAAGCTCGAATCACCTCAACAATTGGCGCTCGACACAATGGGCACTTCCCTCCGCCTCTTACCAACTCGTTTGCACATTTTGAGCAAGTGCACATGTGCCCACATCTGCAAATATATTTTTAGGGAAAAAAAAAAGTTGTCAATGCACCCAAAAAAAAAAAAAAAGAATTAAGCTAATAAAAAAAATCGGTCATCGGATTCTGGTTTTTGTCTTTATGCATGTGTTTCTCGACTCCAATACGTGCATTTCCATGAGGAAAGATACAAAATGTCACAACCATACCTATACAAAAGAGAATCTATGTGGCTATCGCAACAAACACAACAAGTTCCTTTCCTCACATGACCCCATTTAGAACCATCCTCTGATGTCTCCGGACCCAACCCTGCATTGCAGTTCCACCCTTAACATTATCAGACAGCAAAAAGGTAATACACTAATGCATGAATAATAAAAGACCTGACAAGTGGCAATCATAAAAAGAAATTCCATAATCAGAAGCTTCATTCAGACCACGACAAATTACATCCTAATCAAACATACAGTAAAATGCATCTTATCAAAACAACTGAGTGCAACGTCAATTTTCTACACCAAAAAAAGAAAAAAAAAAAAAAAAAAAAAAAAAAAAAAAAAAAAGGGCGAATCAAACCTTTTTCACCAGCCGATCTATTCAAAGCTGCAGACACTTCTTGTCTGACAGAACGCTGCAGCTCCAGCTGCATATCCATGCAGGCCTCCAACATCCTCTGCATGTGGCTCATGCCTTGCTGAAGTCTAGCCATGTCTGCTCTCAGATCATTGATCATCTCCCACTCCTGCTCCAGATCAGAAAAAACTTTGATCAAATCTTAAATGCAAAAACAGCATAATTATATGGCCATTCCTAAAGCAATCGCAATATATTTAGATTTAGTTCCAGTTTTTAATAGAAGAAAAATTACTCACGATTTCTGAACGGTGCATGCTATGTCGAGCCCAGCCAGTGTGGTGCAAGTCCTGATGCCAAAGTGGCTGTGGTGGAGGAACAGGTGGAGACGGTAGCACAAGTGAAGGTCTATTGATGGCATCATGTTGATCTTCACTTTGCTCATCTCTCTGTTGCTCCTGATCTCGCTCGGGTGAAGTAGGAGTTGATGTTGGCAAAGTTCTATGCAAATCCCAATCAATGGGAGCACGACTTTGCCTTGCCACGTATGACTGTATCAATTGGTCTAGACTTTCTCGGAAACCACTACGAAGAAGATTAGAAACACTCCTCCTGCAACATATAAACATCACATGAGTTACAAAAGGAAGCTAGGTAGCCTCATAATTTCAAGAGCAGAAAGCCCGTTACAACTGATATGGCAAGCCTCTGGAGATAGATGAAGCCTTCTGCACTTGATTAATTACCTGCTCAAAAGTTCCCTGAGCTCCATACTATACACATTGTCATCATCAGGAGGATGAAATCTATTGAATCTTCTAAATGGTACAGAACGGCGATTCCTGAGGGGACCAGAAGGCCCTTCCGACCAATTCCCAACACCTTCCCGAGTGCCCTCCCTCTGCCAAACCCCCTGGACCTCTTGTGCACGGCCCTCTTCTCCATCAGCATTCCTAGTCGTCTCCTCAGGCCAATTATTGACTTGATTATCACGCCAATTTCCGTCCATATCTTCAGTGTTTCCATCTCTCCACTCATTGAACTGACCATAGGTTCTCTGCTGCCAGTTTTCTCTATCATCTTCGGTGATTGGCTCTTGCCAATTCCCTCCTTGAGTTGCAGTTTCCTGCAAATTGATACGTTCAGAAGCTGTGTTGCTCTCTGAGTTTCCCGCTTGATCAGGTGACCGGTTGATATCAGCTTCCTGACTTGAAGGCTGTGCCTGTTCATGATTTTCACGTTGGGCATCCAATGAAACATTTGTTTGAGTCCGAACATTTCTAGTAGAATCATCAATATTACTGCTAGCAGTAGAATCAGATTGGCTTCCAACTTGTCCACGAACAATGGTTTCCAATCTTGTGCGGAACCCATCCCTGCCCAGAGACAAGGATCATCATTAGACCAATCAAGTAAATTATTGTTCCCTAAAAACCGTTTCACTTCTACTTTTATGTATAAAAAAGTACAAAATACGAGGAGAGCACACCATAAAATTATAAATATCCAAGAAAATCCAAAAGAAAAAAATCTTTTACTCAAAAACAAATGCATACCAGATTAATCTAAAAACCCTTGGAAAAAAGTGGTACCCAAAGAAGTAGATGGTCTACCCCAGACTACAAAAGAATTTATTAATCTAACAAGGCAAAACTCACCACAGAAGTTGCTTTAAGAAATTTCTCCTAAACATAATACACATACATCAGAATATATATTTCTCCGCACTAAATTAGTAACTATATGATCTTTAACTTGTCAAGGGAAAAAAAAAATAAGAATAACACAACTCGCCCAGCAGAAACCTAGAATATCAAAAGATTTAAATACCTATGAGACTTGCTCCATATATGATTACATGTTCAACAAAGGACTAACCAACAACAACACACAAATGACAAGACTGCACCAGGAAAACAAGGAAGATTTTCTATCATTCGAAACTATAACCAATCCAGTAAAGAAGGAGATACGCCATGATGTTCTTGCAAGCAATTTTCAACTGTGTGAACTTTCCATATAAAGAAGCGTGGCGTGAAGAAAATGCTTGCATACCTTAAACCAGAAACCGTGTGTCTCTGTCTCAACTGAACTAATTCACTTGCTGCCATAGAAGGCGGTCTTTCTTCTTCAACAGGCCTTTCATTTCTCAAGAATCTGCCTCTTAGTAATGACTGACAAAAATAGTTATGTATTAGAGCCCAAATAATGGTATTTAAATTTTTATTTAAAAAAAAAGGGAGCAAAGAAGAGGAAAATTATCTTGAAGAAGAGAGAGTAAATATACAGAAACTTCTAATTGAGCAAACAACAAGTCACAAGTGAAAATAGTCTTTAAAGCGGAAACGTTGTAACATATTGGGCGTAAACCGAACCAGCAAAAAAGCTTAACCAATGTGCAATAAAATAGTCTACTACTCTACTTCAACACTACAAACTGATACAGGCTTCTTGAAAAGAAAACTAGGAAGAAAAATCCATCCAGGATCAGGCCCAAAAGAGGAAAATATCTTCAAAGAAGAACTAAGAAGAAAATCACTCAGCATTATCAAGCCAGAAAAGAAAGAGGGCAAAAATAAAAAATCATAAGAAACCCACAAAGCAACCACACTACCTAGAGACATTATAATCTACAATCCATGTGGTTTTGAGAGAGAATAAGTTCCAAAAACATGAAGAATCTCAGAACCCAATCTCATGCATTTATTACCAAGCGTAGATGAAAACAAAATAAACAGATTCATTCAATATGCGGGTAAAATGGTAAAAACAAAAACAACCAATGAAAGATACTTGTTCAAAAAAGAAATTATGCGAAACTAACCTGAATTCGATTTCGATGAGCAAAATCAGAGACAGCTCGATGCTCGACTAAATGCTGCAGCTCCCTCTGTCTTTCCCTCTCAATTCGCACAAGCAAATCAATCAGAGCTTGTCTTCCACGCAACCTCAACATGTCCCTACGAACGTGCTCTGGTTGGCCTTCATCCTGTTCAGAAGCCAACCCATCACGGACTTGCTCAGCTTGAGCACCACCAGTTGCATTGACTTGACTTTCCCTCCGGCCACCACGAGCTCCTCTTTGCTGACTAGTCATTTGCACCCACTCCCTAACAATTCTCACCCTTTCACGCTCCGTTTCACCAAGCCACTCTGCTCGGTGATTGTTGCTTCTCTGGCCAACACTCGAAGAATGCTCACTAATACCACTCTCCATCCATCCCCGCACAATCTGCCTCACTCTCTCCCTCTCAACTTCGCCAAGGTCAGGAGATTGCTCCCTGCTAGACCCATTATTATCCCCATGTTGATTCTGCGAACCCATTTGATCATGTGACCAAGGTCCATACTCATTCTCACTCTCACTCACATCCCCTATACTTCCCTGATTCTCACTCTCCCGTGTATCTGACATGTTTGTGCTGGATTCATTAGTAGTAGACACAACACTCCTCTGCTGCCTCAACCTTTCCCTCACCCTTTCCCGCGCCTGATTCAACACATGTTCATCCTCCAACTCCCTCCACATTTGTAAAATCGCAGACGCCTGAGTGCTCGGCCTCTCCACAGCCCCTTGCCGCCTCGAAGTTGGGGACTGCGATTCACTAAGGAATGATGAGTCCAGCATCGAGACCGTGTGCAGCCCTGCAAGCGCCATCAACTCCGACTCCCGATTCCTCCTCTCAATCGTAGTGATCATCTCCTGAGCCTGCCTCGCGGCCCAGCGGCTCAAAATCCGCGAGTGACGACGCCGTGCCGCTGAGGACTCTGCCAAATCATCGCCCTCCAAATCAGACCTCCGTCTCCTCCGCACGAGCTGATCGCCCTCGTCGTCCTCATCTTCAGGGTTGCGAGCAGAGCTACAAGACGCGAAGGACATACAATCATCCAAATGCCCACGCATCATCAATTCCTCCAATCCACGCTCAAAGTCAGAGCAGGCATCAGTAGATTCTGGCTTCTGTTGAAGCGGTTCAAAATCCGCCATTCTCTTTAATCCAATTAAAACTCTCCACAGCTCCACACGCCAAAACCAGCCTTCAAACCCTTAAACCTCCACCCCAAGCCCAAAAGGAAAAATAAAAAACTAAAAAAAGTCTAGCTTCTAAACCACCATTTACAATCTATACCAGGAAAAAGAAAAATGTAAACCTAATATATCTCCAACCACTTACAAAACGGTTAGAAAAGGAAAAAAATTAACCCAAAAAAAAAAAAAAACTTTGTGCCCTAATCAGATTGAAATTCCGTCCAAAGTCCAAGGAACACCACCAAACGAAATTACATCCAAAATTCCAAATACAATGAGAAATCGGACTACGAGGCCAAGGAAAACCAGATAATTCAAACGAAAATTAGATCGGTCCGATATCATTGTGAGTGAGAACTAGGAAATGCTCCAATTCGACACTGGAAATTAGGTTTTCAGGATTGGTTAGAAGGTGAAAACGTACCTCGGAAGCTTTTCTCTCTCTTCTCTATTTTCCCTCCTCTCTGTGCATATATGTTTCTGAGACTGAGTTTGCGCGTATGTGGGGGGTTTTCTTCCTTTTCTTTTTCTTTTCTTTTCTCTTCTCGGTGGCCAAACAGAACCCTATTTCGTTGGAAAACGAGAGAAATGCGAGCGAACTAGAAAATCGTTGAAGAAATTACGCTGAAAACAGAGAGAGATCAGAGAGAAAGAGAATGATTTCTTCGGAATTTATATATTAACATTCTGAGAGAAACAAAGAGAAAAAGACCTGACTATTTTATTTATTATTTATTATTTTCTTATTTTGTTTTATTTTTATTTTATTTTATTGCCGATCTAAAAGGCAAGTGAGAGGAGAGAGAAAGAGGAGTGGCAATCTATTAGGTATGCCACGTAGTAATTAACTATTTAAGATTTACAGACAAAAGAAATCAAGAAATTAAGATAATGATTTTTAATGGACCAATTAGAATCTGCCACGTCTGTTATTTTTAGCATTTTCTCGATTCTACATTTCCACTCCACTCGTGGCTTAATGCCGCGTAAACTGTTTAGTAGATAGATTCAGAATTATAATTTTAGATTTTGATTTAAAATTAATATTTATTTACAGTGATTTTGAATCATGATTTAGAATTAGTGTTTAATTTAAATAATTTTAATGTGATATTTTAAACTAGTTTAAATTATAATTCTAAAATCACCCATCTCTTGTTTAAGGTGATTCAAATCTCTGATTCTGAATCATAATTTCAGAATCATAATTTAAACCCAAAATCATGAATTATAATTTTAATTTTAAAATCATAATTAGAATCACCTTAATTTAAATCTTTATACCAAAGGAACCATAATTATCATGGTCATATCCAAGACTTTTTCCTTTTTTGTTTTAAAGATTAATAATAATGTTTATTGTTATTGCTTTTGTTTTTGTTTTTGTGGTGTACGAAATGACTCATTAGTCATGTAATTAATTTAGGTTCCAGTGGTCCCTTTTCACTAGAATTATTGAATTAATTAAAAATACCATAAAAAGGAAAACTTATTGGATTTAATACTTCGTTGTATAAAGAGAATGAAATCTTTACTTAAGAGAGAGAGAAAAATAAAGGGGGGAAATCTTTACTCTAAAAACAAAGGAAATCTTTACTTACTCAAGATAAAAAAAGAATCTTTACTCAAAATACAAAAAGAAGGAAATATTTATTTACTGACTAGAAAAAATGGAAATCTTTACGGAAAAAAAAAAAGAAATCTAGAAAACATAGAATATATAATTATGTAATCCATCCAGCAAAAGAGAAGAGTCTGATTGGTATATATCAGAATTGTCAAGGCATGGAAAGTGTCCCTTTGAAACGAGAGGGAAAATTAAATCCCTTTGAATATTGGGTTAATCTAAAAAAAAAAAAAAAAAAAAAGAACTTTATAATAAATATCACTTTGGTTGGCTATTGACGTTTAAAACACTTTAAAATTAATTTATCTTAGTGTAACAAAATTAGTCTTTATATCAATTGAAATAATAAATGTACATATTTACAATTGGATTTAATATTGGGATAATAGCAGTTTGATAATTTATGTTTATATTAGGCTTGGAATTTTGAACTAGCGTTTTAGTGAGGAGACACTTGATTCAAAATTTACCAAGTACCAAAAAGCCATCCTTTCAAAATGGCAGAAATCACAAACACGTTAATACTCTAAAGGAAAGAGAAATACCACAATGCGTCTAATAAATAATTTAATGGTGTAAAAAATATTAGGTGAGAATAGGGGGCATAATCTCTAAAGAGGTTGAATGTTGAGAGTAATGATTGGTCCTTTGTTCAAAGAACCACTCTTAAGGAAAGTATCTTAATTAGTCAAACCATTATTTTTTTAAAACATAAATTATACAAGTGTGGTGTGCGATTAGAAGAGAAAAGGATAGGTTACTTCTCAGGCATCAAGGATCCTGTTGGCTATCACCGAGGGTCGTGGCGTAGTAGTAAGGACGCTTTTATTAGGTCTCTTATGTCCATTGATTTAAGATTCCAATCTCCATTTGCTCAACCCCTTTAAGAAAATTAAGTAGGCTCCTCTAGGCCACGTCATAGGTGAGGGAGTGATAACTGGGTAGATTGTCGATAGGAGACTAGTTCAGATATTTTTTACATACTCAGTAGTACTCGAGATTACTACTATAGTCGAAGGAGTTAAGAAATATAATGTGCACCACCAAATCTTAGCCAAAGAAAAAAAAAAACAAAAAAAAAAAAAAGAATCCTGTTGGCCTATATTGTATCTGAAAACTAAAAAAATTGTCTAACCATGATTTAATGACGGTATAACTAAAATAATTTATTCTCTTTTATCTTCCTCCATTCTCTGTGTTTTAACAAATTATTGATCTAAAAATAACTATATGTGCCCTTTTGATCTTCGTCATAAATAAAAGCTATACTGAAATTTTACATAGTTTCACCTAATTAAAAAAAAAAAAAAAAAAAAAAGGTCCTCCAACTCACATGTTTGGTAGGCTTTAAAAAAATTGTTGACTCTTTATTTTCTGAGAAGTTTATTGGTAGTTCTGAGTAATATTTGACTGGCTGCTAAATGTCTAGCTAATTAACAACGTAATAAGATTTAAAAAAAAAAAATGATGTGTCATTATCGTAGTTATTATTATAGGTGCGAGGTACATTTCCAACTTATTTATCAGAAATTTTGCCGTACTGTCCCCAGGAGAAACATGCCTAGTGAATTCTTCTAGTAGATTTAATAAGAAGAAACTGATCTGAAGTCATATAGGAAAAATGGTTAATTTTTTTATAATATCGATAAAAAAAATATTTCATAAAAAATATTGGTTTTGCCTATTTTTCATATCATTTTTATCTCGTAACTCCTATAAATAATTATGGAATGGACTGATTGTTGATAATTATTTTTATTATTAGAATAATCGAATATGGTAAGCAAACTAGTGTTATTTGCTTCTTCTTCTTTTTTTTTTTTTTTTTGGTTAATGAATAATGATACAAAAAAGTAACGTGGTGGGAAAACTGTTCCCATAACTAGCAGAAACTTTTTCATGTATTTTCATATGTAATGATGTCGCGCTTTAGAATATAGCTCATAAACATTGGTATATTTTGTAGATCACAACCTTCTATTACAGATACATATAATAATCTTATTTTCGACAATCACTCAAAAGAGAAGCAATAAATTGTTGCAGGTACAATCTAATCTTAATTCCACACCTTACTTCAATACAAGTGTAGGGATTAAGATTTCGTTTGTTTTACTGATTCGAGTTGAGAACATGAGTTGAAAAATAAATTTATACAAAAATACTATAGTACAAAAAATATAATTTAAATTTTTATGAGAGAAAACATTATAACAAAGGCCCCGTTCATTTCACCGATTCGAGTTTAGAATTCGAGTTTTGCTACAGTAAAAAGCTCTCAGAAACAGTCACATCTAATTTTTTTGCTACAGTAAAAAGCTCTCACATAAAATCACATCTAAACTCGAATTAAAAACTCGAATCAGCAAACTAAACGGGCCCAACTTGAGTTGAGATTCAAACTAACGAAACAAATGGAGTCTAAATACCCTACCATATATTTTATTGTGTTAAGTGTTAAATTGTGTAACCTAATTATGTCTTAACAATTTATTGCCTTATGCAGAGAAATCTATGCATCGACATTATAAATTCATTGGGTAGTTTAAGAATTACACACATATAAGTTTGACTACCCAAGTTTTTCAAAAAGATGGTCGTCATTTTAGGTTATTATCATAGACGCTACAGAAAATACAGAGAGTTACGAGGTATATAATTTTTTCTTATAAAATTCTTTTTAATCATAAATGAAATACTGCAACAGTTGAAAGAGGATAAGTCTCACATTAAAACTAACCTCCATGAGTTATGTGTGTTCATTTTTGCTTGATTTCCTTTTTCCCCAATGACTCTCATTAGCAATTCCATCAAAAGTATAAACGGACTTGGACGAAAGGTTATTTTGAGATATTTTCTATATGCCGAGTTGTGTAATGAGTGATCTTGAAAAATTGTGGGCATTCTAAAAAAAGGTTCATATGTATTTTTAAAAGGGAAAATTTAATTTTGGTAATTTGTGTTATATTAAAATTTTAGTTTGATATCCTCTATTTTTAAAAATTTCATGCTGGTTCCTCAACTTTTTAGAAAATTATCTTTTGATACCTTAGAGTCCTTTTTGAGATGTGAAATATCAAATATATCATTCTTTTTAATTAACCAAAAGCTAATAATTTTAAAAAAAATTTAAAAATTTAGAACAATTAAAAACTTGAAAAACAGTAAAAAAAAATCGAAAAAAAAAACAATGACTAAATCAAAGAACAACTGAGAATAAATTTTAAATTATTTTTCTTATTATTTTTAAAATTTTAAATTTCTAGTTAAATAAATAGAAAGGTAAATTTGACATTTCACATCTCAAAAAAAGACTTCGAGGTATTAAAAAATATTTTTTAAAAAGTTGAGGTATTGATATAAAGGAATGTACGCATGATTTTCAACCAAACATATTGAACAAAAAGTGACTTCCATATAGTTTTAACCTAACTTATTAATTTTAAAATAATTTAAAAACGACATGATTAAATGAAAAGAAGTCAGCTAAAGGCCAAAATTTGGCTTTAGCACCAAAATTAATAACAGTGCATTTGTTGAGAATGGTTTTTATACTCAAATGTCAAAATTTGACATTAATGTATTAATTTAACATTGTATTGGAGATAATAGCAGAATAAAAATGAAAATGGTATATCACATGTGTCATTTCTACTTTTTTTTGGTATCAAACACAAACATTGGCATATTTACATTGGAGGTGGTGTAACGTCACCTAAAATTCCTTCAATATTTAAGCGCTTATTAGACATTAGATAACAACACCGATATATGTTTAGATCAAAAAGCATTAAATATCACAAAAAATGCGTGCTTGTCATTAACGCATCACAAAACTAAGAATATAAGCGGTTAAGGATTACAAATTATGACCAAAACAGTCATTTCAGTTTCCTATGATTTTGACATGTGTACATTCATGATGGTCATGATACAATTTTTATGATTTGTATCATTGCTCATGTAAGAAACCCGTACAACTATTTATCACGACACCGTTGCAAATTGCATGAATCGAATACCGTGAGTGGATTTATGTTATACTTTTATAAATGCT